CGGGCAGATAATATGCGGCTGTACCGCTGAGTCACAGGCTGGCGGGCAACACTCACTAGGGGACCGCACCCAATATTTCCCACTATCACATTCTTTCCCATACTCTTTTATCTCTGAACCCGGTAGTGTTGGAAAGAACTAGCAGTAGCAAGAATAAAAAACGATACGAGCGGAAGAGAAATATCCCCCGATGAAGCCAGAAACAACCTTCACTGAGTAGCAGAGCGGAGGGCAACACACTCTCCCTTGGGGAGGCCACCCAATTATTATTAAGTCGTAGCCAGACACCTTGAATCCGTGTACTGACCTTCCCATCTATCACAGCCATTCCCATGCTTTTATCCCTGCCTGTAATCAGGAGTCAGAAGTGATCATATCTCTTTTCTGCTTAGTAATACATGGTAATAAGGGTATCTATCTCCTTGGGGGATGATTAAATATACTGAACTCTGTACCCCCATTATCACATTCTTTCCATACTCTTTATCCCCGATGGCAGAAGTGTTTCGATTTGGACATGATCATTGGGGGTGAATAAACATACTAAGCCCAGTACCCTGACAGTGCAAGGTTATACTGTCCCCTATTATCACATTCTCTCCATAATCATTATCCCCCCGATGACTGGGTCAATCAACTTGGGGTCATTCAAATTGGGCAGTGTTTCGATTCGGTCAAGAATGTACTACTCTCACCCACACTCTCACTCCTACCCTCACCCACATTTACTCCCTTACCCTAACCTACACTCACTCTCCTTCCCTTACCCACACTCTCTGTGCTACCCTCACCCACACTCACTGTCCTACCCTCTCCCACATTCACTCTATTACTCTCACCCGCAATCACTATCCTACCCTCTCCCACACTCACTGTCGTACCCTATCCCCTCACTCAATGTGCATCCCTCACACAGTCTCACTGTCCTACCCTCACCCACACTTACTCTCCTACCCTCACCTACACTCACTCTCCAACCCATCACACTCACTCTCCTACCCTCACCCACACTCACTCTCCAACCCTAACCCACACTCACTCTCCTACCCATACCCACACTCACTGTCCTACCCTGACTAACACTCACTCTCTTACCCTCACCCACACTCTACTTACTCTCACCCTCACTCACTATCCTACCCTCACCCACCTCACTATCGTATCCTATCCCCTCACTCAATTTGCAACCCTCACGCAGACTCACTGTCCTACCCTCACCAAAACTCACTCTCCTGCCCTCACCATTACTCATTCTACATTCACCCACACTCACTGTCCTACCTTCACCGGTACACACTCTAATACCTCACCCACACTCACTCTAATACTCTCACCTCACTCACTCTAATACCCTCACCCAAACTTACTCTCCTACCCTCACCCACACTCAGTCTCCCTCCTGACTATCAGTCACTCTCCTACCCTCACCCTCACTTTCCTACCCTCACCCACACTCACTCTCCTGCCCTCACCATTACTCACTCTCCTACCCTCACCCACACTCACTCTCCAACCCTCACCCACACTCACTCTCCTGCCCTCACCATTACTCACTCTCCTACATTCACCCACACTCACAGTCCTACCCTCACCCACATTCACTCTAATACTCTCACCCACACTCACTCTCCTACCCTCACCATCGCTCACTCTCCTACATTCACCCACACTCACTGTCCTTCCCTCACCCACACTCTCCTAACCTCACCCACACTCACTGCACTGCCCTCACCCACACTCTCTGTGCTAAACTCACCCACAATCACTGTTATACCCCCACCCCATTCACTCTCCTACCCTCACCCACACTCTCTGTGGTACCCTCACCCACACTCACCTTCCCACCCTCCCTCACAATTACTCTCCTACCCTCACCCACACTCTCTGTACTGCCCTCACCCACACTCTCTGTGCTACACTGACCCACGATCACTGTCCTAACCTCACCCACACTCACTGTTATACCCTCACCCCATTCACTCTTCTGCCCTCACCAACACTCACTCTCCTACCCTCACCCACTCTTTCCCTCCTACCCTCACCTACACTGACTTCTTACCCTCACACACACTTACTCCCCTTCCCTAACCTACACTCACTCTCCTTCTTTTACCCTCACTGACTTTCCTACCCTCACCCACACTCTCTGTGGTACCCTCACCCACTCTCACTGTCCTACCCTCACCCACACTGACTCTATTCCTCTCACCCACACTCACCCACACTCACTCTCCTACCCTCACCCACACTCTACTACTCTCACCCACACTCACTCTCCTACCTTCATCCATTCTCACTCTCCTACCTTAACCCTCACTCACTGTCCTACACTCACCCACAGTCACTATCCTACCTTGACCCACACTTACTCTCCTATCCTCACCCAAAATCACTGTCTCCCAATGATGATGATTTTGGTGTTCCCACATCATAAGCTTAGCGACCAGGTTGGGTGGTTGGGAATAAGCCTTTTATGCGTGTGTTCACATGTTCCGAATATTGGGTACATACTCTTTGCATGCAACACCCACACCAGTCCACTACCTCTGATGTACCCATTTGACTGACGGGTGAACATAGACAACCAGTGTAAGGAATCACATTCAATATTTCCACCCCTTCGCCGGGAATCGATCCTGAACCCTCAGCGTGTGAAGTGAGAGCTTTTGGCACCAGGCTACCTGCACGAGTTAGAGATAGTGTCTAGTTTATTCTGAGTTATTAAGCTTGAGTGAGATACTGGGTTCAGTTTTGGGAGCCTATGCATGGGAACTATTGTGTTTTCCATGCATGAGGTTCCCACACTGTGGGGTTAACTGTAATACATCCCTGAGGTTTCCACCCTGAAGCAGAGTTTAGCATCTTTCACTACATTCACTGCTTTTTCTACCTGTTTTTCACTGTTTCTTATTCTGTTTCCTGTTACGTACTGTCTTGGTCAAGGAACACTATGATGTCTCTCCGTTCTCACCAGAGCCTTAAGATTTGATCTCGTGTCACGTGTGTTTACTCACCTATTTGTACTCACCTATTTGTGGTTGCAGGGGTCGAGTCACAGCTCCTGGACCCGCCTCTTCGCTTATTTTTTTGCTACTAGGTCCTCTATCTCCCTGGCCCATGAGCTTTATCATACCTCGCCTTAAAACTATGTATGGTTCCCGCCTCCACTACGTCACTTTCTAGGCTATTCCACGGCTTGACTACTCTATGACTGAAGAAATACTTCCTAACATCCCTTTGATTCATCTGAGTCTTCAACATCCAATTGTGACCTCTTGTGTCTGTGTCCCATCTCTGGAACATCCCGTCTTTGTCCACCTTGTCTATTCTGCGCAGTATTTTATATGTCGTTATCATGTCTCCCCTGACCCTCCTGGCCTCCAGTGTCGTCAGGCCGATTTCCCTCAACCTTTCTTCGTAGGACAGTCCCGTAGCTCTGGGACTAGTCTTGTTGCAAACCTTTGCACTTTCTCTAATTTCTTGACGTGCTTGACTAGGTGTGGATTCCAAACTGGTGCTGCATACTCCAGTATGGGCCTGACGTAAATGGTATACAGAGTCTTAAACGAATCCTTACTGAGGTATCGGAACGCTATCCGTAGGTTTGCCAGGCGCCTGTATGCTGCAGCAGTTATCTGATTGATGTGCGCCTCAGGAGATATGCTCGGTGTCATACTCACCCCCAGATCTTTTTCCTTGAGTGAGGTTTGCAGTCTTTGGCCATCTAAACTATATTGTGTCTGCGGTCTTCTTTGCCTTTCCCCAATCTTCATGACTTTCCATTTGGCAGGGTTAAATTCAAGGAGCCAGTTGCTGGACCAGGCTTGTAGCCTGTCCATGTCTCTTTGTAGTCCTGCTTGATCCTCATCCGATTTGATTCTTCTCATTAACTTCGCATCATCTGCAAGCAAGGACACTTCTGAGTCTATCCCTTCCGTTATGTCGTTCACATATACCAAGAACAGCACAGGTCCTAGGACTGACCCCTGTGGAACCCCGCTTGTCACAGGCGCCCACTCAGACACCTCGTCGTGTACCATGACTCGTTGTTGCCTCCCTGTCAGGTATTCTCTGATCCATTGCAGTGCCTTCCCTGATATGTGTGCCTGATCCTCTAGCTTTTGCAGTAACCTCTTGTGAGGAACTATGTCGAAGGCCTTCTTGCAGTCCAAAAATATGCAGTCGATCCACCCCTCTCTCTCTTGTCTTACTTCTGTCACCTTGTCATAAAACTCTAGTAGGTTTGTGACACAGGATTTTCCTTCCCTGAAACCGTGCTGGATGTCAATTATACACTTGATTCTTTCCAGGTGCTCCACCACTCTCCTCCTGATGATCTTCTCCATGACCTTGCATACTATACACATTAGTGATACAGGTCTGTAGTTTAGTTCCTCATGTCTGTCTCCCTTTTTAAAAATTGGGACTACATTTGCCATTTTCCATACCTCAGGGAGTTGCCCAGTTTCAAATGATGTGTTGAAGATCTTTGTTAATAGCTCACACAATATCTCTGCTCCCTCTTTAAGGATCCATGGAGAGATGTTGCCTGGTCCCACCACCTCCTCCTTGGTTATATGTACCTCATCCAGCACTTGCTGGTGTGCCCCCCTGTTCTGATTTCCTGGAGTCCTACTGGTTTCCACTGTAAATACCTCTTTAAATCTTGTGTTGAGCTCCTGACATACCTCTTGGTCGTTTCTTGTGAATTCCCCATCACCCTTCCTCAGTCTGATTACCTGGTCCTTGACTGTTGCTTTCCTCCTGATGTGGCTGTACAACAGCTTCGGGTCAGTCTTTACTTTTGATGCTATGTCAAAAGTAAAGACTGACCCGAAGCTGTTGTGTGTGTGTGTGTGTGTGTGTGTGTGTGTGTGTGTGTGTGTGTGTGTGTGTGTGTGTGTGTGTGTGTGTGTGTGTGTGTGTGTGTGTGTGTGAAAGTGTGTGTGTGTGTGAAAGTGTGTGAGTGTGTATATACATGTTTATCAAGTTAATCTTACTTGGGAGACAGCAGGTGCAGCTCCGTCCCCTACACCACCTGTCCCTGGTCTTGGAATCACACACACCTGCACGGCGACTCACACATGTCCCAAGCTTCCTCCTGCATTTGCCAGACGTCTTGCATCTTCTTACTGAGTTCTTCTTTGTCTTCCTCGATCCTGATAAGATAAACGCTGCTCAGAAAGTGATTACTACTACTAGATATATATAAACAGAAAGGAGGACGGGAGGTTCGTAACGTGATACCTAGATGAACAGGTACTTTCCCTGTGTGCTATGGTGCCTTCTAACAGGGAAGATTCAGAAACAGTTCTGTTTACCATTAGAGGCACCTTCCTTAAGTGAATGTCACCTGACCTGACTAGGTCAAGGCACTGGCTTAAGCCGGTGGGAGATTTGGACTTGCCACGCATTGGCCAGTAGGCCTGCTGCAGTGTCCCTCCATTCTTATGTTCTTATGTTCACCACAGCCAAGGATCTGTGTATACAAAAATTTCGTGTAGGCAATAATTTTCTGTAGGCAATAATTTCGCAAAAATCATTAGGAACCTAAAGAAAAAGAAAATTTAATCGTGTTTGTTTAATATTAAATTATTGTAAAGTTATTAAAAATATATTTATTTGGATTAGTCTGAATTACATTGTACTTGTTATAATAAGGTTAGGTAAGTTTTCTAAGGTTCTTTTGGTAAAAAATTATTAATTTTCACAGTAACATAAATGAAAAAATATATATCTTTAAAAGTATAAGAGGAAATTTTAGAAAAGACTTAATTTTAAATGAGTTCTTGCTAATTGACAAGGTTTACCTATTCGGCACGATATATATGTATATATATATCAGTACCACAAACTTACCCTAAAATCCCTAAAGTCATTGGCCATAGAATGAATATTGACCAGCTAATTGTTGTTGTTATTATTATTATTATTATTATTATTATTATTATTATTATTATTATTATTATCATTACCATTATTATTAATATTATTATTATTACTGCTGTCGTTGTTGATATAATTAGTAGTAGTAGTAGTATCATTATTACTAACAATTACCTCTTGCGCTATGACTCATACTGGTTTAGAGCATCCCCATTAATATGGGATGGAAGTACGATAGTAGCGATAACTCAGTAACAGTCCCAGATTTTCGCTTAGCAGATTACGATGGGCTTAGAGAACACTTATCATCTGTTGACTGGGGTAACGAAGAGAGCTATCAATATGACAGCTTTCTGAACACAATACATGCTGCTCAAAGAGCGTTTATCCCATATAAAGAAATTAGATCAAATAGAAATGACCCAAAATGGATGAATAATAGGCTCAAATATCTACTAGGGCATAAGAAAGGAATTTATAGGCGTATCAAAGGAGGTGAGGGTCATCTTATGAATCAGTATATTGACATTAAGAGGGACATTAAAAAGGGGATAAGAAAAGCTAAAAGGGACTATGAAATTAAAGTTGCTAGGGATTCTAAAACTAACCCAAAAAGTTTTTTCCAGGTCTATAGAACAAAAGTTAGAGATAAGATAGGTCCCCTTAAAAATAACTATGGGCACCTTACTGACAAAGAGAATGAAATGTGCTTAATTTTAAATAATTATTTTCTCTCAGTTTTTACACAGAAAAACACTAACAATATTCCAGTAATTAATTTTTACAGTGGGCTAGAAGAAGATAAATTATGTAACATCACAGTCACTAGTGAGATGGTTGTGAAGCAGATAGACAGACTTAAGCAAAATAAGTCGCCGGGTCCTGATGAGGTTTTTTCAAGGGTTCTTAAGGAATGCAAAATGGAATTCTGTGAACCATTAACTAATATTTTTAATTTATCTTTTCAAACAGGTGTAGTGTCTGATATGTGGAAGATGGCTAATGTAACTCCTATTTTTAAAACAGGGGACAAGTCGTTACCGTCAAATTACCGCCCAATAAGCCTGACTTCAATTGTAGGCAAATTACTAGAGTCAATTATAGCTGAGATTATAAGAAGCCATCTCGATAAGCATAGCTTGATTAATGATGCTCAGCATGGATTCACAAGAGGCCGGTCTTGTCTAACTAATTTATTAACTTTCTTCAGTAAAGCTTTTGAGGCTGTTGACCACAATAAAGAATTTGATATTATTTACTTAGATTTTAGTAAGGCTTTTGATAGAGTTCCGCACCATAGACTGTTAAAGAAAGTGGCAGCTCATGGCATTGGGGGAAAAGTGCTCTCGTGGATCGAGTCATGGCTCACTGACAGGAAGCAGAGAGTTTCCATAAATGGGGTTAAATCCGAGTGGGGATCTGTAACAAGTGGCGTTCCACAGGGATCAGTCTTGGGCCCGTTGTTGTTTATAGTATATATCAATGATCTTGATGAGGGAATTACTAGTGATATGAGCAAATTCGCCGATGACACAAAGATAGGTAGGATAATTGATTCAAACGTAGATGTTATGGAACTTCAGGAGGATTTAAACAAACTCTATTCTTGGTCAGAAAAGTGGCAGATGCAGTTCAATGTAGATAAATGCAAGGTTCTGAAGCTTGGGAGTGCCCATAACCCTAGTACTTATAAGTTAAATGATGTAGAACTTAGCCATACAGATTGCGAAAAGGACTTGGGGGTTATGGTGAGCAGCAACCTTAAACCAAGACAGCAATGCCTAAGCGTACGTAATAAGGCAAATAGATTACTGGGATTTATATCAAGAAGTGTAAGCAACAGAAGTCCAGAGGTCATACTGCAGCTTTATACATCATTAGTAAGGCCTCACCTAGATTATGCAGCTCAATTCTGGTCTCCATATTACAGAATGGACATAAATTCGTTAGAAAACATTCAGCGTAGGATGACTAAATTAATACATAGCATTAGAAATCTTCCTTATGAAGAAAGATTGAAGACTCTTAAGTTACATTCACTTGTTAGACGAAGAATGAGGGGAGACCTGATCGAAGTGTATAAGTGGAAGATAGGTATTAATAAAGGGGATATTAATAAGGTCTTGAGGATGTCTCTCCAAGAGAGAACCCGCAGTAATGGATTTAAATTAGATAAGTTTAGATTTAGAAAGACATAGGAAAGTATTGGTTTGGAAATAGGGTAGTTGATGAGTGGAACAGTCTACCTAGTTGGGTTATTGAGGCTGTGACTTTGGGTAGTTTCAAATCTAGGTTGGATAAGTACATGAGTGGGAGGGGTTGGATTTGAGTGGGACTGTCACATCAGAGCTTATTTCTTGGGTGGCATTGAAAATTGGGTTGGGCAAACGTTTTGTTAGCGGGATGAATTGTAAAGGACCTGCCTAGTATGGGCCAACAGGCCTCCTGCAGTGTTCCTCCTTTCTTATGTTCTTATGTTATGTTAACATTAATGGTACAGAAGATAGCGACCACCAACTAGCAGTGCCAGGAAACAGATATACGAGGGACTAGTGGCACATATTATTGGGGCAACGTTTTGCCCTCTCAGAGAGCGAAACATTGCCATAAATATGTCACACAACATAACATACTGTCGGAATTTCTACTTTCGTTACAAACAAGTTGCGAACGTACTTCTGGCACAGCAGATAAATCCCTCCGGGCAGGTGTTGTGTTGCAGCATCCGGCAGGATCTCCCAGCCATGGCAACACACTTCCCACCATCATCTCTGCACGATTTCTGCAACAATGTAACTGAATTGTTATAACCTCTAAACATGTTGCTTTAAATAAGGGGTGTAATGTTATTGCACAGGATACAGAGTCTAGAAGGTGGCTGGAATCTAGCAGGTGGCTGGTGTGAGGGAAAAGTAGGTGTAAGTGGGGTTAAGGTTGTTCGGGCAACCAGGAACCATTAGTTACGTCGCGTGCACCCCCCCCCCCTTCTCTCTGGCGGGCTGGGGCGAAACTAGTTCCTGGTGTCCGATTTGTTAGTTTCTACTCCTGGTAATATTGACCTTACCTGGTGTGGGTTGAGGTTTGGAGAGTCACTTCACCTCCACTCTTCTCCTAATCAGGTAGGGTGATATACCAGGAGTATCACTGTTTGTTTCTTTATTTTGTTTGCTGGTTACCAGTAATGATTTTGGCATTTATCATTCTTTTCAATTCTTAAATGTTATATTATCATAACTATGGGTAACCAGTTTATTTTTCTCTTATTTACCAGCTCTGTTCCTGGCGTGGTCTTCCAGGATAGACGCCAGATAAAGGAGCAAGACGTGTTAATAATACTTATTAACATTATTCTACTACTACCGGCCCTTACCTATTCTACTTGTGCTCCATCCAAGTGGTAGGAGATTCCAGAACATCGGATTACCATCTGCCCAGGATAACCTACATAAATAACATCAGAGGAACTATCCAGGGCCATACCTACTCCTGCCCAACTAAAAGAAACTGAAGGCCATTTTTTTTTATTATATTTAATTTTAAGTAAAATTCTCAAAAATCATTTTTCTCATTTTTTCCTAAGTTATTTCTTTATTTATTTATTTTTCCATTAATTTCTTTTGTTCAGTTGGAAGGCGTTCCACTGACAATGGCGACCTTGCCAGGATGCGACTCTTGAAGCAACATCGTCCTGATGGTTCAACTGGTTGTGAGTATAACATTTAAGATAGAAAAGGGTGAGTTAGTTGAGGTGTCAAGTCATTACTGGTAGTCTGGTGACTTGCCGTTGTTTGGTTCTAGGGTTCGGTTTAGAAGTTTACCTATTTGTTGGACCTGGGGAACTTTGATGATAACCCCTCCTGTGTGAACCGTGTGTGTTTTGCTTAGTGAAGGCTATTGAGCCCACAAGTGTATTTTCTCCAGGGAGAAATATTTATTTCATTTTCTACTTTGGGAAGTTTAAAGTGTGCGGACTGTGTCCCTCTTTTGTAACAGACGTTACTGTTAATTTTAATTGTCAGTTGAAGTTGGGTGCTTAATATTTCTTTTTACAAGATGGATTCTTTAGATTTCTGGTTGAAAGCTGGAAAGGAAATGGGATTTACTGGACAAAGCCTTGATAGTTACATTACTGCTAAAATGGCTATTGAAGAGAAAAAAGAACAGGAAAGACTAGCTCGAGAGGAGAAAAAGGAACAGGAAAGACTAGCTCGAGAGGAGAAAGAGGAACAGGAAAGACTAGCTCGGGAAGATAAAATCGAACAGGAAAGGATAGCTAGAGAAGATAGAGTTCAGGCAAGAGAGGTAGCCTTCAAAATGAAGGAAATAGAGTTAGAACAAGCAAGGTTGGAATTAGAAGCCAAGAAGATAGAACTATCTAAGCAGAAAATAGATGAAGGGGTTTTAGAATACCCTTCCCAAGAACCTAATATTAGGATGCCACAAATACCACCTTTCTCGGAACAAGATGACATAGCGGCATATATTACTAGATTCGAGAGTACTGCTACTCTCTGTGACTGGCCAGTAGATTCTTGGGCTACTAGGCTTGGCTTACTACTGTCAGGTTCAGCATTAAACGTCTATTCCACTCTACCCTCTGATGTTATTTCTAGTTATAGCCTGCTGAAGAAAGCTATACTACAGGCTTTCAAAAAAACTACTCACCATTACAGGTCGGAGTTTAGACACATTAAAATAACTCATCAAAATTACATGCAATTCTTAACAACACTTTTCAGATTATTTGATTCGTGGATTGATAGTGCTGAGGTTGACCACGATTTCGAATCTTTACGAGACCTGATGGTAAGAGATCAATTCCTTTCTTCTGTAAACTCTGACTTACGAATATTCATTAAAGAACGAAACGTTCATACGGCTGCAGAAATGGCACAAGCTGCTGATATATATGCGTGCGCTCATAATAACTACCCTAAAGAGCGTAGCAGATATAAGCCTGTTGTGCCTAAGCAATCTGAGGGATCCAAACCCTCCGTACCTAAGAATTCCACGGCCTTCACAGTAAAATGTTTCAACTGTAATGAGTGGGGTCATAGACGGCCCGACTGTCCTAGAAAAAAAGGTGAAAATGTCGGTAAATGTTTCACTGAATCAAACATAAACGCACCTTTTAGTGAAGGTACAGTCAATGGTATGAATGTGTCAACCATTCTTAGAGACACTGGATGTTCCTGTATTGTTATCTCAAGTAAGCTTTTCCCTAACCTAGATTCTTCACGTTATAAGTCCACTAAGTTAACTGACTATTTAGGAAGAAGCGATTCTTTTCCAACAGTCAGATGTTTCGTTAGGTGCAAATGGTTCTCAGGATGGGTAGATGCCGTAGTTGCCCCGATAACCTCATGTTCTGTTTTGGTTGGGAACATACAAGGGGCTACTTTCCCATCTGAGAAGGACTGTTTGGAATTTGGAGTTTCCAAGGAAGGGTTGGAACCTAATATCTCTGTTTCTTCACAGATAGTTCCAGATGAGATTCAGTTGGATAACCTAAATCAGAGAGCTGATGGTTACAAAACTCCGGTAACACCTTTAGTAAGTCAGTCACTTGACCTGGACAACGCAGATACCAGTGGAAAACTACGTGTGGCACAATCTATACAACAACTAGACTCGATTAACGTCATTACCAGAGCTCAGTCTAAGGTAAAACCTATCCACCCATTAGTTCTTTCCAAAGGAAAGCCAATCGAGCTGTCTCATATAGATTTAGAGGGTCTCCAAAAGACTTGTCCTTCCTTAGAGGAATCTCGGAAGTTAGCTTTAAATGGCAAGGTGACCCAGAGAAAGAAATTTTCTTACAAGTTTGAGTTCAAACATGATCTTTTGTACAAGACTATAGTGTCTGCGGACAAACCCAATGACGTTGGTCGAAGCCTATTAGTCATTCCGCAGGATTGCCGTGAAACCATTTTAAAGATTTCTCATGACTTGCCAGTCTCTGGCCATTTTTCACATAGGAAGACCTATAATAAAATCAAGGACCTATATTTCTGGCCTAGCATGTCCTCTGACATCTATAAGTACTGCAGATCATGTCACGTATGTCAACTTTCCACGCAGAAGGGTAGAACTAGGAGAGTTCCTATGGTAAAGATGCCAATTTTCTCAGTCCCTTTTGCAAGGGTGGCAGTAGATATAGTTGGTCCTATCACACCTCGCTCATCAAGAGGTCATAAATATATTTTAACTATGATTGACTACGCGTCCAGCTTCCCAGAGGCGGTACCCTTAAAATCCATTACGTCCATAGAAGTCGCAGAAGCCTTATTTTCTATTTTTTCACGTGTAGGTATACCTCGTGAAATTCTGTCGGATAAAGGGGCACAATTCACTTCAGAATTAATGGAACACGTTTATCAACTTGTGGGTGTTAAACCTCTTTTCACTACACCTTACCATCCGATGTGTAACGGAAGAGTGGAGCGACAACATGCCATCCTAAAGTCAATACTAAAAAAACTATGTATTCTTAAACCAACGGACTGGCATAGATTTTTACCATGTGCTCTTTTCGCAATGCGCGAGATTCCAAGTGATTCCCTTGGTTATTCCCCTTTTGAATTGCTTTATGGGAGACAAGCTCGTGGTCCACTATCTATTTTGAATGAACTTTGGTCCAAAGATATCAAACCTGAGGTTCAGAACAGCTATCAGTTTCTTTTAGATCTAAGGGAAAGGTTGGAAGAAACCGCCGATTTGGTCAGTAAAAACCTAGAGATTTCTATGGAAACATACAAGACCTATTTTGACCATAAAAGCTCCAAGCGTACGTTTAATGTTGGTGATGAAGTTTTAGTTCTCCTACCTGACAAATCCAACAAATTGCTAATTACATGGCGCGGACCGTATAAAGTAGTGAAGGTCTGCAATAAGGTAGATTATATCTTGGATGTCAAGGGTAGAGAAAGAATGTATCACGTCAATATTTTGAAACGGTACCATCGAAGAGAAGTTAATCTTTGCGTAAATTCCTTTGACGAAGATACTTCTTCTTTCGGCTTGGATACAAGTGGTGATTCGTACGAATGTAGAGTTTGTATTATAGATAACGAGTCTTTTACAGAATCGAAGGAGCTACTGGACATCTTAACGCATGATCCCTCACCAAAGAAGTCAAATGTCAACATTAACAACGACTTGTCGAATAGGCAAAAGTCTCAAGTAAGCGCCTTAGTAAACACATTTTCTGACGTATTCACAGAGGTACCAGGACTTACCACCACTATTGTACACAAGATTGAATTGTCGGATCATGAACCAGTAAGGCGGAAAATCTACCCTGTTCCCGTTCATTTACGGAAAACTTTTGATAATGAGGTTGACAAACTATTTAACTTAAACATCATAGAACCTTCGAAATCAGCTTTCTGTTCACCAGTTGTTATGGTTAAGAAACCCGATAATTCTTACCGACTTGCCCAAGATTTTCGTTATTTGAATACTATAACTAAATGGGATGCAGAACCCATGCCAGTAATTGATCATGACTTGTATAAATTCCATGACTGCAAATTCTTCTCGGAATTAGACATCTCCCAAGCATACCATCAAGTGCCATTACACCCAGACTCGAAACCATACACTGCTTTCCCTACTCATAGAGGTCTAATGCAATATCGCACAATGCCTTTCGGCTTGGTTACCGCATGTGCCACGTATATTAGGCTTATGAGAATAGTTCTTTCTGATCTAAAGAATGTATCAGTGTATTTTGATAATATTTATATCATGACAAATGTCTGGGAAGACCATCTAAAAACACTAGCACTTGTTTTGAAAAGACTAAGAACTCATGGCCTTACAGTTAAACCACAAAAGTGCTTTCTTGGCTATCATAAGGTACAATACCTTGGGTTCATTATCTCTGATAACAACTTTTCACCACTTCCTAATAAGACCAAAGCTGTTTTAGAAAGTACGTTCCCAGCTACCAAAAAGTTATTAAGAAGTTTCCTTGGATCTGTAAACTTCTATAGAAATTTCGTACCAAATCTAAGTAGCCTAACTTCAGTTCTTACAGACTATTTGAAAAAGGGTGTCAAGGAACCTCTTAGTTGTTCTGAGGAAGCCATCCAAAGCTTCGAAGAAATTAAGAGGATATTTTCAAACCCCCCTGTCCTAAAATTGCCAGATATTAATAAAATATTTTGTCTCCGAACAGATGCCTCCCATTCTGGACTCGGGGCTGTACTACTACAATATTATGAGGAGACGCCTTTCCCAGTATCTTTCGCCAGTAAGAAGCTTCTGCCCAGAGAAGAAAGATATTCCACTGTGGAGAAAGAATGTTATGCTTTAGTATGGGGTATAAGTAGATTTAAATACTACCTATACGGTAAACCCTTTGTGCTTGAAACAGATCACAAGCCACTGATGTACTTGGAAAACTTTAAAGGGTCAAATAGCAGACTCTTGAGATGGGCTCTGGCTATTCAGCCCTATAAGTTTAAAGTCGTTTATATTTCTGGCTCTGAAAACCACTTTTCAGATTGGCTGAGCCGAGGTTGTATTTAGTTCTTTTCCCTCTGTTCGTTGACTTATTGACTCCGTCCATAAGTTTTGGAAGGGGTATTGTGAGGAAAAGTAGGTGTAAGTGGGGTTAAGGTTGTTCGGGCAACCAGGAACCATTAGTTTACGTCGCGTGCACCCCCCCCTTCTCTCGGCGGGCTGGGGCGGAAACTAGTTCCTGGTGTCCGATTTTTAGTTTCTACTCCTGGTAATATTGACCTTACCTGGTGTGGGTTGAGGTTTGGAGAGTCACTTCACCTCCACTCTTCTCCTAATCAGGTAGGGTGATATACCAGGAGTATCACTGTTTGTTTCTTTATTTTGTTTGCTGGTTACCAGTAATGATTTTGGCATTTATCATTCTTTTCAATTCTTAAATGTTATATTATCATAACTATGGGTAACCAGTTTATTTTCTCTTATTTACCAGCTCTGTTCCTGGCGTGGTCTTCCAGGATAGACGCCAGATAAAGGAGCAAGACGTGTTAATAATACTTATTAACATTATTCTACTACTACCGGCCCTTACCTATTCTACTTGTGCTCCATCCAAGTGGTAGGAGATTCCAGAACATCGGATTACCATCTGCCCAGGATAACCTACATAAATAACATCAGAGGAACTATCCAGGGCCATACCTACTCCTGCCCAACTAAAAGAAACTGAAGGCCATTTTTTTTTATTATATTTAATTTTAAGTAAAATTCTCAAAAATCATTTTTCTCATTTTTTCCTAAGTTATTTCTTTATTTATTTATTTTTCCATTAATTTCTTTTGTTCAGTTGGAAGGCGTTCCACTGACAGCTGGTGTCTAGCAGATGGCTGGTGTCTAGCAGGTGGCTGGAGTTTAGCAGGTGGCTGGGGTCTAGGAGGTGGCTGGAGTCTAGCAGGTGGCTGGAGTCTAGGAGGTGCTGGAGTCTAGCAGGTGGCTGGAGTCTAGGAGGTGGCTGGAGTCTAGTAGGTGGCTGGAGTCTAGCAGGTAGCTCGACTCTAGGAGGTGGCTGGAGTCTAGCAGGTGGCTGGAGTCTAGGAGGTGGCTGGAGTCTAGGAGGTGGCTGGAGTCTAGGAGGTGGCTGGAGTCTAGGAGGTGGCTGGAGTCTAGCAGGTGGCTGGAGTCTAGGAGGTGGCTGGAGTCTAGCAGGTGGCTGGAGTCTAGCAGGTGGCTGGAGTCTAGCAGGTGGCTGGAGTCTAGGAGGTGGCTGGAGTCTAGGAGGTGGCTGGAGTCTAGGAGGTGGCTAGAGTCTAGGAGGTGGCTGGAGTCTAGGAGGTGGCTGGAGTCTAGGAGGTGTATTACAACCCAGGAATTCAAAGGCCTATTATCCTGGGTGTAAAGGGAGCAAAATAAACACAGCAGAAAAACTTTTGACTTAAGAACAGAAGTATGTACACTATATACACTATGTACAACAATAGGTATTAGTGCACTCCACGGTAAACAAGGCAGAATAGAAGCCACTAGAGAGCAGACCGTGCTTCAACCAGGTCTAGATTGGAAATGACAAGGGCAGACTGGCGGATGGTGCCCACAGCACCTCCGCGATTGCCAAAACCATCTTTTCATTGGCTTAAAATGGGCACTGATCGAAAGACGGGGCCCCATTGTCCGACCCTTACTACTGGTTCGCTGGCTGGGGGAGATAGCCTTTCAATGAGAGTGTGCACCTACTCTTTGCATGCCACAGCCCCACACCGAGAGGGCTCAGAAATAGGCTAACCCCTCCCATTGGTAACCGTGCCACCATGGCACCATATGGGACCGCCTTTCCTCTCAACCATCCAACTCTTAGATAGAGCTCAGCTTTAATTGCGACATAAAGCGAAACCCTAAACTTAGAGCGAGACAGAAGACAGTAGGGCTAACATAGGTCCAAGGTATGGGTGGACGGTAGCCGCACCACCTCACTAAAAAAAAATACCACATACATAAAGGGGGGGGAAAGAGCAAGAAACTGGTTACCACAGGTCCCTGACACATCCTAATACATTCGGGAAAATGTATCTGCAAACTTATTTTCTTTGCTGATAATGTGTACTACTGAGAGAATAGGGCTACAGTCGTAGACTCCATCTCATGAGCATCGTATTGTGGCTCTTCATGGCTTGGAGATATGCCAGAGGGATGTGGTCACTATAGACGGTGACCACCTGGGAAGTCTGGCCCACATAAACATCGAAGTGCTCCAAGGCCAGTACCAGAGCCAGGGATTCATTTTCAATGGTAGAGTAAGCCCTCTGGTGCGGCTGGAACTTTGCCGAGTAGAAGGCCACAGGCTACAACCACTCGTCCCCGTTTTGCAACAGTATTGCCCCAACCCCAGATTCAAAAGCAGTAATGAGAAAGGTTTGGAAAAGTCTGGAGACAAAAGAATGGGTGCAGAACACAATAATCTTTTTGCTTTCGTAAAAACATTTTGGCATTCTGGGGTCTAATTAAAGGGAACTTTGTGACTGGTAAGAGAGGTAAGAGGGGCTACAATATCTGAAAAATTTTTGAAGAATTTTCTGTAAAACCCTATCATGCCTAGGAAACGTTGAAGAGATTTCCTATCATGGGGAATTGGGTAATCTTTAATGGCAAGAACTTTAGCAAATTTAGGAGCAACTTTGCCACTACCTACTTCATGGCCCAGAAAAGTAACAGTGACCTGGCCAAAGGAATACTTAGATAAATTAACAGTTAAATGGGAACTTTGAAAGGTCTGAAAGAGAGCCTTAAGTCTAAATAGGTGTTGATCCCAAGTATCAGACACCACTACAATATCATCCAGGTATGCTGCAATGCCTTCAAGTCCTTTAATAGCCTGATGGATAAGTTTCTAGAATGAAGAGGGGGAGTTTTTCATTCAGAAGGGGGTAACTGTATATTGATAATGACCTCCTGGAATTACGAAGGTAGAGATTTCCTTCGTCTTATCCGTCAAAGGTACCTGATAGTAACCTTTAAGGAAGTCTAACTTTGACACAAAAGTAGCCTTACCCACAAAGTCGATTACGTCATCCAGACGAGGAAGAGGGTAAACATCTGTGATTGTGAAATCATTCACCTTACGGTAGTCTGTACACATGTGAAAACCTCCACCAGCTTTTTTTAACAAGGATACATGGTGAAGCCCATGGACTAGATGACTCCTCCACTAAACCATGCTTTAACAGAAATTCTACCTCCTGCTGAAGTAGCCTCTGCTTTTCAGGATTAGCTCTGTAGTGGGAGAGTTTAATAGGTTTAGAGTTTCCCACATCTACATCATGATAGCTTAACGTACATTTTCTCGGCACATCCGAAAAAACATCAGGGTATGACTGTAGAAGCGCAGTTAAACTTGTTGCTTGCGTTTCAGATAGTCCCACCATTAAAGGGCTAGGATCCTTGAGGAGGACAGAATTAGAAAGTTTAACATTAATTTCAGAAACAGAGTGCAAAGAGTCAGAGTCATCCTCAGAGGTAAAGGACAGAGTCATTACTGGGACTTTATCTGGTGTATGAAAAGATTTTATTTGATTAATGTGGTAAGTTTTAGTTTTTGAGGTCTTGTCAAGGGGAGATACCATATTATTTACATCAGATAATTTACTTAAAATTTGCATAGGTCCCGTAAATCTAGCTTTCAAGGTGTGGCCAGGTATAGGTTCCTGCACCAACACCTTGTCTCCTGGATGGAAGGAGTGGAATCGTGCATTTCTGTCATACCTCTGTTTCATCTTATTTTGAGCTGCCTTTAAGTTAGCCTTGGCTAACTGACATGCCACCTGCAACCTTGAAGATGGGTTGTAGTGTTGAGCTAACGTCTTCTCCCATCCATCCTTCTTTGAGCACCCGAAGAGGACCTCGTACATTGTGCCCAAAGATCAGCTCAAACGGACTATACCCGGTAGACTCCTGCACAGTTTCCCTTATTGAAAACAGCAGTAAAGGTAAAGATTCATCCCAGTCTGTAGGAAAATGCTTACTAAAAGTTCTCATCATGGTTTTTAACGTCTGATGGAATCTTTCCAAGGCGCCTTGGGACTGAGGCAGTGGATAAGTTGTGGATTATCCCTAACCTAGTTAATGCTTCCCTAAATGCTTTGGCAGTAAAGTTAGTACCTTGATCACTTTGAATATGCTGCGCATGGGAATTGCTTTTAGGTATCTACTTACTCTATCCATAATGGTAAATAAGTACCTACACAATCTACAATTAATTCAGCAAAGGGTTCTCCATCAGCAGGTATAGGTTGGAGAGGTGCAGGTTTAATGGAATGACCAGGTTTCCCTACTTGCTGACATTCTTGAGCCTGATTTTCGAAAGTTTCGAAAAAATTGTTCTGGTTCTGCCTCGTTGAAGCGGGGACCAGCTGTGCTGCTTTCTCTAAACTATTTACAACTTGAGAAAACTGCCTTCTTTCTTTTCATTATCAAACTCTTCCTTGGCATAGGCCAAGATTGATTTTCGCCAACTCAAGCGCCAATGTAGCAGATTCACCTTCAAACAACCCTGTCGCATGAGACTGACTATTTTGCTCAGTTGATGTATCATTTTCCTTCTGTGAGAACATCGGGGTTTTATTCCTGGCTCCCGTAGAGGGAGGAGTTTGGTGTGCCATCTCCTCTTCTCGAAGTCTGATACTTATAAGAGTACGAAGCTGCTCAGCTGTGAGAGTGCGTTTGTAATCAACGCCAATGGAACGAGCAATTTGCCAACAATGCTGTAGGAAAAATTTAGACAAGTTTAATAAAGTGTATTTAGATACCAGACGTCTGACTCGTCTAGGCGGCATACCCCAATGTAACATGCAGAATACGCACATAAAATAACAAGGCTGATACACAATAGCAAAGCTGACTGCAAAATATTCATACAACAGCAAGATTGACCATAGCAAAGCGAGCACAACGAACAAGCTGGTAGCAAGCTGTAAACGATCATACAATAGCAGGCTGACCATTAAACGCAAGGCTGACACGCAAAGTTTCGTAAAGCATTGGTAAAGATAATGCAATGCCAGACAGCAAGCTACACAAAGTTCCTACTTCCAGCGCCACCCTAGGCTCAACTCGGGCTCTAAGTTCAGTTAGAGATCCTGAACAGGCCCCCATATTACAACCCAGGAATCCAAAGGCCTGTTATCCTGGGTGTAAACTCAGCAGAAAAACTATTGACTTATTTTATCCTTTCACCAAGTAAGAAAAGAAGTATGTACACTACATACACTATGTACAACAATAGGTATTAGTGCACTCCACAGTAAGCAAGGCAGAATAGAATCCACTAGAGAGCAGACCGTGCTTCAACCAGCTCTAGAATGGAAATGACAAGGGCAGACAGGAGGATGGTGCCCATAGCACGTCTGCGATTGCCAAAACCATCTTCTCATTGGCTTAAAATGGGCACTGATCGAACGACGGGGCCCCATTGTCCTACCCTTACTACTAGTTCGCTGGTTTAGCAGGAGGCTGGAGTCCAGCAGATGCCTGGAGTTTAGCAGGTGGCTGGAGTTTAGCAAGAGGCTGGAGTCTAGCAGTTGACAGAAGTATAGCAAGTGGCTGGAGTCTAGCAGGTGGCTGGAGTCTAGCAGGTGGCTGGAGTCTAGCAGGTGGCTCGAGACTAGCAAGTAGCTGGAGTCTAGCAAGTGGCTGGAGTCTAGCAGGAGGCTAAAGTCTAACAGGTAGCTGGAGTCTAGCAGGTGGCTGGAGACTAGCAGGTAGCTGGAGTCTAGCAGGTGGTAGGTATAGGAG